CTAGACCCGAGGAAAACACAATTACGGCATCTACCCATGGAACGTGAGCACGTGTGCCAAGTTTGGTCCCTCTAACTTCAAACATGGCGCCTCGGAAGCTCAAAGGAGCTTGGGAACACAAATTGCCTTTGGATACACACAATTAGTTTAAATGTGGTTCTACAAATTTAATAGAAAAAAGCATAGAAAACATTTTTTTTTTTGCAGTTTATTATAATATTTAACAATAATATTCCAAACGTTCATTACAAACAACACAACATTAACTACACATGCAAAGATACCAAACGTGACACACAAAGTCTACCATTTGTCAGTTATGTTGTAAGATTTATCATAACTAGATTAATAAAATACAGTGAATCACCATTGTGTTCCACACAAAAGTATATCAGGCATAACATGCATACCAAGAACTATGATGAAATTCTATCTTTCCCAATATGGCATACATACGACTTCTCAATCATATTCGAAAATTCAATATCCACAGTCAAGCAGTTATCATTCACATATCAATTCTTAATAAATATAAAACAGAAAAGTCTAATCTTTCAAGCATCAAGATTCAGAATACTAAAAAGTGCTCCATAATAATAACAATAATAATGTTAAAGAAAGCATATCACACTCACTAATCAGTCTTTGAAGTTTCTTATCTGTTTTACAAATTATAAACGTTTTGTTTGTGTTACTGCTATGAAAACTAGCCAAATATCAAAGATGTACAGCCAATGAAAGTTTTGTCTTTAGTAACTGAAGCCATCTTGATTCTTAAAATGGAGAACTGATATCTCCAAAATACAAATGTTTGAAGAATTCAGAGCATTATCGGATTACATGATCGATGTCCATAAATGTGTGAAATAAATTAAAATGTTTTTTTTTATCTTCGTTTATGTTTCAGACACAGTCAATGACTAATTACTAATAATACCCTGGGTCAGTGGAAAAGAGATTTGTGAAATCAGAGTTTTTACAATTATCCATTAGCTATGTGCCATTGAAAGCTAAGCTTTTAAAGTAAAATGATTCCTAGGAAACTATAAAAAATACTTGTTAACTTAACAAAGAAGAACTATTGGATTATTCAGATCTTCTCCTTAAATCTTACTTAAACATTAAGATTGGTGTGATCAAGTCTTGAATTTTCCAACTGAGAATATATTAAAACTTTAAGTTGTTCACTTTTTATATATTTAAAAAAATATTTTACTTGATCGATTATCTTCATCCATGAAAATGATATCACATGATTAGAGATTACAGAAAAGAAACGAACGTATTCTTACTGAATAGCTGACAAACAGAATATCTTTCAACAGTGTACAATAAATTGTACTGATTAAAAGATCATTCCTAATAAAGTTAACACCCAAAACATATACACATATTTCAACAGTGTACAATAAATTATACTTATTAAAAGATGATTCCTAATAAATTAAACACCCAAAACATATACACATATTTCAACAATGAACAATAAATTATACTTATTAAAAGATGATTCCTAATAAATTAAACACCCAAAAAATATACACCTATTTTACCTTTTTAATAAGAAAACGTTTAAGGTTTGTGTTTGATAGGCTTTACTTGCAGTATATATATATATATGTATTCCACTTTCACACTTTTTTACACTGAACCAGGCTAAAGATGAAGTTCTTCAGTGTTTATTATCAAGTATGAACTAGTGAGGGAATTTCTCTCATAACTCTAGACATCTTACTTGCAACATAGTGTGAAGTAGTTACAAATTAAAACACAGATGATGTATTAGAATTTTATATGTAATATAATGCTACGCATTTATATTATCTACATATGCTTGATGTTAATAGATAGATAGGTAACCAACAAATTACAATCAAGTATACGTATGGATTTGTTAAAAGTCATGCACGCTACTTCACACACGTCATTTTCTTTTTCTGTAAGCCTACTACAGACAAACCTATTATTATTCTATTCAACTTCCAATCGCAATAAATCGGTATAGTTTTATTTTAAATTTGCATATTCGTTAATACATTTACGTTCCGAGGCTAAGAGCGGCCCAACAGATAGCGTGTTGGAACTCACGTGTCTCTATCGACAAAAATAATTGCCCTCCACACATTAAGGCCATGAGTGTGTTATAAGAGTGACGGTCAAATCTCACTATTCGGTGTAACAAGAGCATCTTAAGAGTTGGCGGTGGGTTATTTTGACTAGCTGTCTTCCCTCTAGTCTATCATTTTAAAATTAGGGACGGTTAGCGTAGGTAGCCCCCCTTGTGTAGCTTTGCGCCAAATCCAACATGCAAACAATCTTTCATCTCGATAGAGTTTGGGGCAAGTCATCTTACCAGCCGAACAACGCACTCATGTTTACGTTACACCTAAAATCCTATAAAATTCTTCTAGGTAGCCATCGCTCAGATCGACTAAGTTGAGCTGATGAAAAATCGCATTGCTCCAAACTATACAATCGCATTGCTTCAAACTATAATTCTCTATTGGTCATGGTATGGGCATAGTTACTTACTACGGGCTTATGCATTTTTGTTTTTCACGACTTGTATTCATAACCAAATAAATTCCATAACCAAATAAAACCAAATAATTCCAGAAAACTTATATTAAAAATATTTGCTTAAAAGCAGCTACTATATAAGCTGTTTTAACGTAAGTCTGCATTCTAGTATTTATTGATGTATCATTTAAAGACTTGATAATTTTTTTTCACATAATAGACACTATCTCTAATCTTGAATTTTATCAGCAGGTTGTTATATCACTTTTAAATGTCGTATCTCCAACCAATGATTTATTTTACGTATGAATATCATCATACGTTAGTCATTATTTACTCAGTGGGGATTTTCAGGAAGGTTCATGAAGTCATTACCAAAGAATATTTTATAACGTTGTATTTCAACTTTGCAACTTAATAGTTTTCACTGATTAAGATATAAACGTCGTAGCAAAGATTTTACGAAATCTTAGACAAAAGGGAAGACCAATGAAATACTTTTTTGATCAATTATATTTCTTAAAAGTGAAATTTGTAAATTTATACAGAAAATAGATGATAAAATGCAAAACATAATTCATTGTTTGTGACAGTTATATTGGACACGAGTAAGGATAAAATCGCATATTATCTATAAACTATGAAATGTTTAAAATTAGAATATCCACCAGAATAAGAAGATTTTAATAAATCCTTGTTAGCGGGCGTTGTTTCTTTGACGATCATCTTTAACAGTTTTCACCTGATGCTTGATCACGCAAAACGTACTGCTTGGATCAATGAGATCGAAACAATTCAGGGCGAGGTCTCACAATTAATCAAACCTATCCCAGATTTCAAGACTGATGAGTAGCATTTCATGCACTAAAATGTACTATCCTTCTTTCTCACACGTACAAATAAAGAAGAATGAGTCATGAATAATATGTTTAGATATTTCAACGATAATTTCAATATGCCTGTAAACAGAAACAAATGTTATGCTTTTTTCAGTGCTAAAAACACATGTTAATAAAATACTCTTGCTCGAATGAGACATTGCTAAACAATTTCGTCATTTATTATGAGTGTTTCATTAATCTCACGAAAAACAAAATTTGCTGCGTATAATAGACCTTTAAATTAGTAACTGTAGATAATTGATAAATTTGATTCTATGCATTTCTCTGTTTCATTTGTACAAATACCTTTATTTTAATATTCTGTCACGTATTTCTTTAGTTGGACAGTGAAATAAAATGTGTATTATTCTGTCGCAGCCAATCAATAGTTGCTCAATTTCCTTGATGTTACAACTAAAGTCCGTGCTCATTAGATTTCTCTAACAGATGGCTCTCATTTCTAGCCTACGTCATCAAATGCAATTCAACGCAACGGTGACGTATACTTCCATCGTGATAGCAGTGCCATCCATGCAGTATCTGATGCGCGATGTGTGTATTGCAGATACTAACCAAGTGAAATCAATATATTGATTCATCAGAGAACTTAAAACCTTGGTAGTAATACATACACATTTCCAATTCTCGAAATGTATATATATATATATATATATGACGGTGTGTGTGTGTGTATGTGTGCGAGCGCTAAAGGTAAAAAAAAAAACTAGGTAGAAAATAAAAACCAGTCCATCATCATGATATTTCCCTGTTTTATTGAGAAATTAATTTCAATATTTCTATAATTTTAATGAATTTAACATGTTTAAGGAACACAAAAGCAATTATTCTCTACCCAAAACGTCCATTTCTTTTGCCATTCGTTTTTTTTATTATTATTATTTATCACAGGAACATAGTTTACTTGATAATAATGTTCGTGTTTCCCTCTTTTTATAAATGACCATACAAAATGTTATGGTATGACGTAATGTTACTGATTGATAAAATACTGATTGTCTGATAACAATTATTTTATCGTATAACAGATGGAAATATTTTTATTCTTTGCTTTGGAAATATTTGCCTGGTTATTATAACACCTTAGGAAATTTTATATTTAAAAGAATTCATGAAATATATAAAGTTATATATCTTTTAGACTAGTAAAAACCTTTTACTGTAATTTTCCTATCACAGCACATTAGGAAGTTTTCTTTTTAAATAAATGAACAAATCAAATTAAACCTATTAAGAAGTAGCGTGATCTAAATATTGCTAAATTGATAAAGACTGCAAAGACTAAAAACTAAAATATATTTATTTACCATTATACTTCCAAAATACAATAAGCGTAAAAAAACTTGTATATACAAGCCTCTTTTACAAATACTGTCAAAAATAACGGTGACAAAATGAACCAAAAATGATATACTTAATGTATATTAAAATATTGTTCAGATCAATTACGAACCCAAAACATTTAATCCCCTTCAAAGTTTGCTATAAAACAAAATATTGACTCGAAAAATAGCATTTAAGCAGAAACTATACTTGCCCTTGTTTTGTTTTTTTTATTTTCTTAAAGAAAATAACACTCACCCTTGGCTTGAAAGGCTTGGGTTAAGTGTTTTTTCTCTTGCTCACTTTTTTCCCAATCGGTGCTTGGTTGGTCAGTGACCATTGGTTGAGAATCGGCAGTCTCCATTGGTCTCCGGGTTCTCTCAGTCGTCGACACTTCACTGCTTTGTGACACAAACAAAACAAACACTAATTATAACACAACAGCAAGTTATTGAGGTATTTATACCTTAACGTTATATAAAACTTTAAGAAATTGTTTTTTTAGTTTATAATTACATCAAAATGTACATGTTCTTCTAATATCATCTGAGATATAAAGTGTTAAACAAACATGCATTTGTAACAAACATACGAAAAATATAATAGGTTTCAATTTGCGAAGGCGGGTATTTTATTACTGCTACAAAGTAAACAGTGATCGTTTATCATAGTTAAGAGGAGTGTTTTGTTTTAAATAAATCTTATTGTACTGCAAAACCCAAAACGTCTGTAAAATTATATATCTTTACATTTCATATCGTAAAACTAGAACTCACTCTATAAGTATATGGCCTATTGGTTTCACTAAGCTTCATATTCTTGCGTAATAATTAAATTTAAGAGCAGGTGTTAATTTACACCTATCTAATACAACAGCAAACTACAGAAATGGTACATACTAAACAGACTAATACAATACCTGATCTATTGTGTATTTGAAAACAGAGATAACATAACAGTCAAATATAGTTCTGTAAACATTCTTGTTGACAAAAGACTTCCACAATCTATCTTGCAAATATACACTGACGTAACATAACAATGACCGATCCATATCGTGTTTGTACATCTGCCAGCTACATAACACATTTATACGGGGTAACCTAGCTCGTTCATGATAGAACTAGTACAAGCCACAAAAGAATCAATGATACATTCTACATATTTTAACTTATATAACACAGTTAGGCTCATGTCGTATGAGTAAACTAGAACAAATTATTCTATCTATCCAAACAAACTTTAACACAAGATTCATTTAACACATTTTTGCAAAAGTTATAGGTAAACAGCTCAGTTCATTATAATAAAAAGGTATATAAAATCTATGTATATCGACTTTTCGTACCTATCACAATATATAACAACTCAGAAAAAAACACAAAAACTGCTGTATACTGATATTTTTTGTCTTTTATTATAAACCCTACTACAGTAGTCATACCGATAAAATACTGAGAATGTTGACTTGATAAAAATCTTCGCTGTCTGCCAAGCAGTCTTACCTTCATTAAATCGATATATATAAGCAAATAGTTAAGCCGTCTTTTACATACTGCTATTCTACAACTACGCGAACACCTGACTGTCGAATGTAGAGTTACCAGATCTCCGCACCTAATAAACCGAGTCTCTTGCTCTCTCAGCTGATCGAGAAGTCGAGACTTTCGCCGCCATAACGTCCAGACGGTGTAAGTTATACGCATGTCACATTCTACTTTACTCCAAACTGACTATGAAGCATTTCTTGTTCAGTATGCTTTAATAAGCACTTAATCGGAATAAAAGAAAAGCCTTTTTACTATATAAGGTGCATACATGTTTGTGTGCTCATCGTAATATTTTTTATTGCTTTGAAATTTGTTTAAATACTTTTTTATTGGAATTATACAGCTTTAATGAATAAAGTGCAGATGAATACCTAGAAAATTTCTTAAAGGGTGGTCTTGATGTTGTGTACCATTGGTTGTATTAATTCGATTCCAACATGCTAGTTTATTGCCCTTTAAAAACTAATGTGTATAAAAGTTAAATTTATAATAACTAGATTTTTGTCACTAGATGGCAGGTAAGTTACAAATTCCTTTAAAATATTAATGTTTTGTGTTTGTCATAATCTATATTATTAGTTTTTCTAGTGTTCTTATTGGAATTGCGTTCCTTTACTCATAAATCACATTCGTACGCTTTAAGAGAACAATGGCATTTACTTCCTGCCCAAAAGTACTAGCACAGCCAGTGGTGAATATGAAGCAAGTCGATCAACAAATGTGGTTACTTTACTTTGCCACACTTAACAATATTTGACAGTTTAGTTTTTTCTCATGGGAGGAGAAGCGAATTGCACGCTAGAGTCTTATTAATCTGCATCTGTCTGTATAGTGCTCTCTTTTCTGTTTACACGCAAGTTAGCTTTTAACCTAAGAGAAATTACGCTTGCACCAAACATCTTGAGCACTCATGAATTGCACAATAACGCGTCTTAATCACTATGAATATATTTAAATACAAGCAAGGTCAGCCATGTGCTGTAAGCACCCATAAGACAATTTGTAGGAAACAGTTTATAATAAACGGAGAAAAAAATTCACTCAGAAAATATAGAGCGCTAATGATGAAGCAAGACATATTAGTATGCTTCTATTGATAGTAGAGCGGCTACTGGAGCTTCCTGTTTGATTGTAGCTGAAGGCGTGGATACTCGAGAACACCAAGAAAATACAGTCCTTAAACTTGTCATTCAAGTTCTCCATGTGCGATATGAAAAATGGAGAACCCCAATAGATACCACCAGACATATATTCCTTGTTGCTATACGTCAGCAGTTCCTTGGCATTTGAAACTATGAAGAAGTGTCTCAAATATCACTCGAGAAAAACAATATTTGTCTGAACCTGTCTTTATTTGTTACTGTTGGTATTTTTACAAATAATCATTAGAATCGTTAGGTAGAAGACTTCAAAATACTATTTTGATAAATATCATTGTTTTATTGATTGTTTGTTTAAAATATAAAAGAGAAAAACGCGCCAGGGAGGTACCATGCTTCCATTTTTCGCTAAGAAAGAATAGTTACTTTTGAGGCTGAAACCGTAATTCAGCACCTATATCAACACTATTTATCTAATTTTTCAGACCTGTGAAATTTATTGCCACAATCTGTTATTGCATTTTGATTTATCTCCATAGCACTGAATATATTAAGTCCCCGAAAGTGTTCTGTTTCAAAAGTAAATATAATCAAAATTAAGAGTAACAAATATTTTTATTTTTTGCTTTTGAAGTTCATATGTAATGCTGTGTCCTAGCCTACAGAGTGCATAATTCTTCTCGTGATTCATGGCATGCGCACGTTTTACTGACGTCACGACCGTACAAATTGCAACGTTAAGCATCCGTTATGTGTCTTCATTTTAGTGTCGTCTGACTGACTGACAGACAACACACTACTGTATAGTAGTGCAAATGGTTAAAGCAGGACACCCCTCCAGACGGCTTTCGGCCCCTTTTCGGGAAAATCGTGATTAAAATTATATTTTTGTGATTTCAGATATTTAGTTGTTTCCGAAAAAAAAAAAGAGCATATATATAATTAATATATCGTTTAACAAAGTGGATTAATTTCATAGGTGGAAAACGTTTGGTTTGGTTCAAGTTAAGCACAAAGCTACACAATGAACTATTTGTGCTTTGCCCACTGTGGGTATCGAAACCCAGTTTCTAGCGTTGTATGTCCGAAGGCATGTCTCTGTGCCACTGGGGGCGCTGGTAAACGTGAATAATACATTATTTTCTGAATATTTGGGGAAACGTGTAAGATGAAATTATAGATTCTCAACTTATAGTTTTTAGTTCTTTAAATTTATATATCGCTTTTTGTTTTAAGGCAAAAATTCAAACTCATTTTCTTCTACCACTTCTCATAGCGAAGAGTTTTTGTTTGTTTGATTGAAGTTAAGCACAAAGCTACACAAAGGGCCATCTGTGCTTCGCCCATCACGGGTATCGAAACCCGGTTTTTAGCGTTGTAATTCCGCAGACATAGCGCTGTGCCACTGGGGGCAAAAAGTTTAAATGTTATCTACATATCATTTTCAATTATGTGTAATACGAAGCTAGTGAAAAGTGAACCTTTTACCGAAAAAACAAAAAACTCCATGTACTTAATGAAGACTAATATTACAGAATATTGAAATCTTACTAGGATGTTTTATAACACATTCGATAAAGGAAACACGTTGTAAGTTGTGTAAAGGTTGTACAAACTACTGATCTGTGGGTTTTTTAACCATGACCTTATTTCTTGTTTACTTTACATTTTAAATTAATACGGTTTGGAAAGTAACTAAAGATTGGTCATTTTAATCATAAAATCTTCAATAAGAAAATATATGTTTGTAAGTTTTTGCATTTTAAGGTGAAATTTAGTATGTGAAATAATATTTATTTACACAATGCTTAAAAGATCAAAACACTGATCAACAGCTCAGAATCTAGTCTAAATGTTCGAAATAAAACGATAATGTTATTGAGACTTCTTAAATTTAACTTGAAAATTTGAATTGATTCTTGATTGACCTCTACATAAACTGTATATTGCACTTAGTACTTTATTTGGGTTGAACATAATACCTCTGACGTATCTTGCTTGATATGGAAGATACTATTTCCAAACTTTCACTTGATACACCATGTTTAGATCTGATTTATAGCTGTTTATACAGACAGTTGACTTTCAATTCAATCTTAATATGACTTTGTTCAGCATATTAAATTGTGCTCGAATTGCTCTGATTTTGTAAAAATAAATAACTAAAATGTATTAGCAGCGTAGTATGCATTCTCTGTTAGAATCCCGTGATTTATATTTACGTAAACGAATATATACGTTTCCTACTTAGATTTATGCCTTAAACCAGTAAACATGACCGATAATAAGTTATAATACAAGCTCCAAGGAATCAAAGCTTGTTATCTATGCGTTTAAAATAGCATAGAGGGACACGTTGTAGATCAGTGAGTTTGTTTGTTAGTTTTAACTCAAATCTTCACAATAGGCTATCTGCGCTCTGTCCACCACGGGTAATTGAACCCCCGATTTTAGCGTTTCACGTCAGTAAGCAAAGCACTGACTCACTGGGGGACCATTGTCGATCAAAAATATTGTTTCTAAATCATATTACGCAAGACAAGTTAATTCGTTTCTCTATACAGCCATCCGAAGTACAGTTGTAAAGCAAATTCGAAGCAGCTACAAAATTCTATATTGACGTTCATATTCCTTAGGATTGTGTAGCGTTTCTTCGACAAATTTGTATGAGTAGTAGAATAGAAAAAGAAAGATAATGCTTTCGTTAATATAATTTAGGAAGAAAAGAAATTATGTATTAAGAAAAATATA